ACGTGTGCTCTTCCGATCTACTACAATAAACTTTACTGTAAAATCTTATTGTAGTGCACAGTAAAATTTGCCTAGATACTATATTGTCCCACAATTAACATGATTTGAAGGGTAAATTAAAAAAAAATTCTCTCCGTGCATGCTTCGTATATTCTGATTTTACTTTCTACCCTCATGTATTATTCGATATAACGTCGCGAAGACATCCGGCTGCCACTGCCGCAGCTTTGTAAGTCTGTTTTTGCATCTCCTCGCTTAGGTTTCTGTTGCTGCAGTTTATTGTCACTCCTAAATACTAGAATTTTATAATTTGCTCAATTAGCTTATTATATACCGCTAGTTTGCATCTTTTAGACTCTTTAGACATTACCTTTGTTTTCTCCAATGAGATTTTCAGGTCATAGTATTTAGCAGTTTCCTGAAATATGAAGAGCATTATCATTACCGTCGTAGATCATTTTCTGTTTTTGTCATCAATATCGTGTCGTCTGCCTAGCATAGGATCCTCACATTATTGTCGTCCATCCTATCTTGTTTTCATTTTTTTTATCTCTTTGATAATTTCATCTGTTATTATATTTAATAATATTGAACGGAAACTATCTCCTTGCTTTATCCCCGTCGATAATACAATATTTCTATTTCCTCTGATAGCCTTGCTCGGTTTTTATCTGGGCGCTATTTCCCGTGTTTATTTCCTGCATGATTCTGATAATTCATGTCATCTATTTTATTATGTCTCTTCAATATTTCAATTATGTAAAAATTATGTAAAATATTAGCTAAAATTCATTATTTTCACTAATGATAGACTGATTTCAATTTAGGGAAGAATTTGTAGTTGAGAAAATAGAGAAAATATGCGTCTCGCATAATGTAAATCGTACTGAATTCGCAACTCACCTAATACAATGGAAACTGCTAACAATAAGCATATTTTCAAAGTAGAGTTTCTCTCTCTCCAAGTAATATTAGCAAGCAATCTGAATAAGCCAAAATCAAAGCTCTCTTAGTAATGCACCATGTGCATTTGATTGGCCGATTTTATAGCATATGCTATCCAAGTGAACATGATATGTATACGTATATACATGATATAAAGGCACAGGAAATCTTAATCCCTTCTAAACTGGTTCTTTTTATAAATAGTCCACACACAATGATTGCCTAGTATAATAAACTGATAATTAAATTATTTTTTTGCTTATACTGATTTTATGCTACATTTATATTTAATTAAATTAATTATAAAATTAATGTGAACATTACGAAAATTTTCGTCTTTTATTTTTCTCTGATGACTATTTATGTTTGTGAAGAAACAATTTTAATTTTAAAATTGCTTATTATAGCAAGCATTTTAATTTAAAAATGTTTCGATGGATGAAATAAAGTAAGGAATATACCTAGCCTGTTTATACCATTACAGATTTGCACAATATAACCTGGTACAGTTGTACTCTTATCTGTAATCATTTCTATCATTCTATCTGCGATAACAATATACGATTATACCTAGGATAAACAACACAACAAGAGGTATAAATTGCAAAAAAAAAAATATTTTTTGCTTTGTTATTTGTATTTTTGGAAAAAATTGCATGCAGCCGAGATAAAGATTGCGAAACATTTATCACGTTTATCATTATCGGTTTAATCTAAATACATTTTATTACACCGTATTTCAAATTGACTGTGTATCGTTTTGTACAATCTGAATTTCTCATTGTATGTATGATGCAAAAAAAACAAGTTATATATTTATAAAACGCTACTGATAGAGTGTCTTGTGTTTTAATTTATACGAATATTTTTAAGATTGATTGCAAAAGAGAAGTATTATATTTAAATTCCGCTCGAAATTAATAAACGAAAGACGGAAGGAACGGCTAATTCGAGCACGTAAAGATGTTAAAAAATTGATAATTTATTATACATGTAGTTATTTTATACATGTAGTTAACGCAACGGTACATTTTCGGCCTTACTTGGCCTTTCTCAACCGCATAAAACTACATTAATGGAAATTTAAGGTATGCTGGACATACAAAACAACGGACATAACTATAGTTCTTTGAAAAACGCAAATCTCGTAAAAATAAAATAAATTAGCACTAAAAATTCACAATGTAAAATTATATGTAATAAATTATCAATTTTTTAACATCTATACGTGCTCGAATTATTGGCCGTTTCTTTTGTCTTTCAAAAGAAAAGAACCAAACGATGAAATATTAATTTTTTTACTTACGTGCGTTAATATTTTCACTCACAATTTTTTACGTATTTGCATGTAAAATAATGTGATTATATCTGCTAATTAATACGCGATATTTAAAAAGTGACTTTTATCATTGTACAGTTTCTTTTTTACTTGAATGCGGTATTTGATCTAAATATAATATTGTTCTTTTTTTTTGTTATTCTGCAAAAGATTTCTTCTTTTTCAAAGTTATCAAAAGCATCGGCGAGAAGCAACAAAAATGTTTTTTTGTTACAGATAATGACGACAGCAGATGATATTTTTAACATAACCTTAATGGACTATGACGAGAACGTATACATACCGTACGAACAAAGACCTGAGACTTATTTCGTACCCGTGTTATTTTCATTGATTTTAATCGTGGGTGTAATAGGAAACGGAATCTTAATTCTTATTTTACTATGTGACCCCAATATGAGAAATATACCAAACACGTACGTGCTATCTTTAGCTGTCGGCGATCTGTTGGTGAGTGGTACGGCTGTGCGATTGCGCTTCCTTTGTTTCTTAATATTTGTTTTCAATTTAAGAAAAGTAAAAATTATTTGATATAATTCTTTATCTCAAATATGAAAGCAAATTTCATACATAAAAAATCAAAATATATATTTCTCTCGAGGATAAGAAAATAAAAATAAAAAGGCATATCTTTTCTTAGAAATAAATTTTTATTAGGAAAATATCGGTAATTGAAATATATATTACACATATATTATATTCAAAATTTTCGATCTTCCAATAATTTTTATGAAAGTATTATGCTATGTCTTTATGATAATTTGACGGCACAGTATTATCTGAATCTCGAATACAGAGATAATTTATTGTTACAGATAATGGTGACTAGCGTACCATTTACATCAGTTATTTACACGGTCGAATCATGGCCATGGGGCGAAACTATTTGCAAACTATCTGAATGCGCTAAGGATATTTCGATTGGTGTATCGGTATTTACCTTAGCCGCTTTAGCAGCCGAAAGGTAAATACGTGAACTAAAGAGCGCTATCATTACGTGCAAATTAACTCAAGGAATTAAGCAAAATTTTAGTTGGATGATACTACAAATATCCGCAGGTTAATTTAACTCGAGAGACTAAAACTGAAATTTCAATCATATTATATAATATATCCAAGCGTCAAATCGGCTCTTGGAGCTAATTAACGTATGTTATGTAACTCATTTCAATGAACGATACCGTTGGCTATTAATGCAGATACAATTAAATTTTCCATGTTAACGATCATTAATATTCAGGACAATTAAATATGTTTGACCTAAATAATTCCAATTATTCCTCTTGATGTATTTTTTTCTAATTGTAAAATTTTATCTACGTCAAGTGAAAGATTAGTTTAGGTAAAATCGATAAGATACAAGGATCTGAGATATGCAAATTAATTATTGTTTGTATCTTGAGTAATTTATCTTTAAAATGAGTTTCTACCGCTTTTATGATCTGATGCCGCATCTTCTCACGTTCTTATAGATACTGCGCCATTGTGAATCCTATTCGTCGCCACATGGCGGGTTTAAGAGCAAACCCACTTACCATTTTAACGGTAACCCTTATTTGGGTCTTAGCGATTGTCTTAGCTATGCCCTCCGCGCTTTTCGCTAATGTATATTCTATAGAAATACATGAAAATCTTACCATTTCTATCTGCAGCCCTTTCCCCGAAAAATTTGGTAAGTCATAAAAACACTGCTCTGAATATCATAAAATTATAATTAAGAATATGTAAATGGATATGTACAGTGTAAAATTTATAATGAAATTTTAGACAATCTATGTGATAATGTCACATTTTATCTATTATTAGAAAGAAGGAGTTTCGAACTTTTTCTGATATAATTCATATATGATTAGTTAATAACTTTCATATTTTTATCATTTCTGATGTTAAATATAGCTCCAAAATGGAGTCTACATATTATTACATATACATATACGCAATTTTTTATCTTAACACATTGAGCAATATTAAAATTAAATATGTGAAAAAAAATTTTGTAACGCTAACGTAAGTAGTTAAGCAAACATAAACATTGCATAATGTGCTTTTACAGGGATGGCTTATGAAAAGGGTATTGTAATGTTCAAATTTTTGGCATATTACGTGATACCATTATGCGTGATAGCTAGTTTTTATTTAGGCATGGCATGGAATTTAACATTGTCAACCAGAAATATGCCAGGTGAACTTCCCGGTGGTGATCTTCACACTGATCAAATACAGGCGCGCAAAAGGGTATGTGAAAACATACTTCTTAAAATTTCGAAATATTAAAATCATGCTTTGTTTTATTGAAGTTTTTAAAATTCAATTGCCTCTTATTGGACGCCTTTGTATTAATGATTTTGTTTGTTGCTGCAATTTAACAGGTGGGAAAAATGGTAGTGTGTTTTATAATCGTTTTCGTGATTTGTTTTCTACCGTATCACATATTTATGCTGTGGTTCCATTTTACTCCAACGGCCCAGTACGATTATAATTATACTTGGCACTACTTCAGGATTGTTGGTTTCTGCCTCAGTTTCAGCAATAGCTGCGTTAATCCCATAGCTCTGTATTTAATTAGCCGTACATTTCGAGAAAAGTAAGTACATATATATTTCTTTACTCATAAAAAATGTCTATATTAATCAAATAAGTAAATTTTAATTTATAACAATTACTTAAAAACGTGATTTTTTTCTATTTCGATGTAACAATTAAAAACATTGAGGGACGCAAAATTCGCGTACAGGGTATATTACGCAAAATTTACTCTATAGTACATGAATCTTACGTACATAATCTTATTTATAATTAGGAAGTAATATTATCAGATAAACTTATTTTTATTTATAATAAAACATGTAATAGTTTTTCGTCATGTACTACTTCCTGAAAACTCGTCAAAATGCAAATTTTTCCGCAGACTTTTTTATTGGAAGATCGTTCATGTATTTTATATATTTTTTATGTATCGGTGAATAATTTTTTTCTGCTTATAAAGTACATGGAATATTATTTCTTTTTATATATATTATTGCATGAAAGTGTCCTATTTCAAAAAAGAGATATAAGTTTAATTATCGAGAAATTCTTTTTTTTTTAATAATATGACAACTTGTTTTTAAATTACTATTCCTGTTCTTCCGCTATAGGTTTAATAGATATTTATGCTGTTGTCTACCGGGTGTTCCCCCTATCTGTGGTAGAACTCGGATGAAAAACGGTATGATTCAGGGACACAGTGTTTTATCTCAAAGACGTCGACGATTGTTTCACGAGACCAGTTTCGGTTCCACCTCCCGAAGACGTACTCAAGATTCGACCGCGGTATTTGAAATGAACAGCATAAACTTAAATAAGGCTAACGTAGGCGATCGAAATCTTGCTTAAATCTTAAGTAATTTCATGTTTAATATAAACAAAACCTGCGGACGTCAATGTAAATTGCAGTGCAATTCGCGATACCACTACTATCGATAATGAATGCAGCTTCATCAAGATGATTACATGTGTGGTAACGCTGCAGGTTTTCCATTACGGGGAAAAAGAAACGCATTCAAATAGAAACTTTCGTTCAAATTGATATTTTCATAACCATTTTAAGGATTACTCACTTTTGGATACCCGCTTGTACATAATCTCTAAAAATATAGAATATATGTATGTAGCAATTTTTCAATTTACACTACGTACTTTTTCAGATACGTAGCTTTTCTTTAAAATAGTTGCATTTGCGGAGTCGGACTACAATCCTTTTTGCCGAAAGAATTCTTTCAGGCAACTAGTATACTTTTCACACCGTCAAATTTTTCTTTGATGATGTAATTAAATTAAATATAGAGAGTTAGGAAAGATATAATAACTTGCTAAAATTATAATATGCATCTGAAAATAATTTCTTATATTTGCAAACTAAAATTATTTTTTGCTTCGGCCTAATTTATAAAAAAATAATAAATAAAGGAATCAATGAAATATACCTTAAATTTAACTTTTGTGTACTTCTGAAAAATGCTTCTGAATGTGCTTTTTTAATGTGATTGTAGAAATGAATGAATAAGATGTATGAATACTTTGTCTATCATTAAAACGTAACCTATGTATAATAGTACTGTAGATGCACATACATGTATTTCTTGCTCAATCTAGTCTACAACTTATCAGTTAGTATAGCTATATATTATCTTACTATACGTTTTTCTTATTTGATTGAACAAGATTCTTCATTTCTTAATGAGATTGAAAGATTAAAAAGCAATCAATTTTCCAAAATTAATTATTAAACTCTTTATACATTTAATACAATATAATTATATAAACAACGAATGTTAAATTTGTTCTTTAACGCTATAAATAAGTAAGCCGTAAAAAAGAAATTAAATAGTAAGAGGTACAACGAGATGCGATCTAATGTTTATTAGTTTTATTATCTCTTTTATGGCAGTAATTGGAGTTAAATTAGATCTTACTGCAAATGTTTTATAAATGAGAAGAGCGTGAAAACACGGAACAAATGACATAAATAAAACAAAACTCATTTTAAATCTTAATAATTCAGCTATTTGATAGAATTATTTCTCATTAATCTATTTGATAGAATTATTTCTCATTAATAGAATCATCAAAATTTTTATTTTTAATGAGACTAAGAAATTAAGAAAAACAAGAGAATTAGTTTCCAAAAAAATAATTTTATGAATCTCTTTATAAAATAAAATTATGTAAGCAACGAAAGTTGTTCTTTAACGCGTTAAATAAGTGAACCGTAAAAAAGAAATTGAACAGTAAAAGATACAATGAGATTCGATCTAATGTTCATTCGTTTTACTACCTCTTTTGTAGTGGTAATTGGTTCACCGAGTTAAATTAGATCGTACCGCAAATGTTTCACGAGAAAAGAAAAGCGTGAAAACTCAAACAGATGACATGAAACAAAATTCATTTTAAATCTTGGCAACTTTAAACTGCGCGTAAGATAATATTATTTATGTATTTATAGATACATGCCTTATAAAGAGATGCTTTCTACCTATGAAAATGTTTTCTCCTTCTATTGCTTAAAAATGCGTAATAAATATATTAATAAAACTAAAATTCTATTTTGTAAATGCTTCTTATTGTGCTATATATATGTATACTTTTTATTGATCTCTATTGGGTTATTTACAAGGACTGCTGTTTCACTTATGACTTTTAATTCTTACATATTATCTTATAAATTAATTTATCTGTACGCTACAAATTTATATGTTTTATTGTAGTATTTAGTATAGTTATTGTATTTAAATTAAATTTGTGATGTGTACCACTAATTGCTAAGTATTTAAAAAGTAATTTAAGTAAGAAAAAAATATTCATTAATGTCTGAAACGACTACGCACTGTATACTAATAGATGCGAGATGTTTCAAAATTAATTTATTATATATTTTTGAGATGTTTCAAAATTAATTTATTATATATTTTTTGTAAAGAAAAAATCGATTTCACATTATTTAAAGAATCGATTATTTCAAGATATATGTATTACTTCGAAGCGTTGTATATTTTTCAAGAAAATCCAATTTTATTTGATATTTTGTATATTTTCCAAATATTTTCTTTTTATGCGTGACTGAATTGTAAAAATAACTCAAATAAATGTAATTTAAAACAATATTGTTTTCTCTTTTGCGTAAATAAATGTTATGGACGTGCACACGCAAAGATAACTCGGACATCATTTCTAAGTCGAATAAGAATTATCGATGTGAGGCTCCTCGGTGTGCATGCAATGTATTCCTCGCTCGCACGCGCCACTCGTCCGTTCCCTTCAACAGGGCACACGCAGGGGTCAGAGAGAAAGAGAGAGAGAGAGAGAGAGAGAGAGAGAGAAACAAGGGGAGCTCTTGCATCTGCCGTTCGTTCGGACCTTTACACGACGGTTAAACAGCCGGATTTCGAAGGGGACTCGTGATAGACAGAACTCCCTCGCGTAGGACCCCCTTTCTTCCGACAACGGTCGTGAAAATGAGGGGGTTGGTTGGTAGTACGCGACCGTCGACGTTAGTCAACAGTCGTGTCCATCGACAGTCCACCGTAGCGTACGGCTAATAACGTGGGAGCCGCGTTCTCATGATAAAAAGGGACGTGAAAAGGACGTGGTTTCTTTTTTTTTTTTACGAGAAAGGGTTTACCGGAGAAACTTTGTACAGCACAAAGGAACCGTTAGTGTACCTGCAAGCGCGAGAGAATCTCTTGATACTCCGGCACTTCCAGATAACGAAGCCGATACAACGGATAACTGATCCGAAATTAAGGGACAAACTTGTAGAGGTGCACGTCGAAGGCAGAAGCGCGTAAGTAACACGAGGTATCATTACTTCCAGATGACACAGTAAGACGACTCCCCAAACAGATGCCACCTTTCTAGCTCCCATTACAGCCTATATGTGTGTTTATATTTGCGCTAATTTTATTAAAAATTGCTGTGTCGTGATACGAAAATTTGATAACTTGTCAGACTGAATATTCCTGCAGCAAAAGCAATCAGAACTCTTTTGAAAGAATTTTTAAATGATAAAATATTAAACTATATATATATATATATAGTTTAATATTTATTCAATATATATATATATATACATATATATATATATATATATATATAAATTATTATTAATATTTTATCATTTAAAAATTTTTTCAAAAGAATTCTGTGTGCTTTTGCTGCAGGAATATTCAGTCTGACAGATCATCAAATTTTTATAATGTAGTTTAAAAAATATTCGACACAATAGATCTCGTAATTGGAGAACAAATCACTAATTAATTTGATTCAACCTCATGAAAACATTCAAACGTAACGGTACTCCGTACAGTAACGGATACTGTACGGAAACATCCAGTCGATACATTATTTCAAATAGCAATTGTAATGCATTATCGACATATAATACACAACCTGCTGCTATTATTACATTTCCGTGATAGTTGAACATCACACAAAATAAAGGAAACAAATATAGCAAAATTTTCAATTTTTAATGTAAATAAAAGCGAACAAAAGGGATTTAATTAAAAGTAACGTTGAGCATTATTATTGTTTGACGGAATTTTCTGAGGTTTTCTGAGCAGAAATTTATTTGTTACGATTAATCACGAATAAAATTTTTATGGTGTAAAAAGTCAATCTTTCAGTTTTATTGAATTACAGATGGATAAACACTGAGTCAGATCATGAAGAGATATTCGTCGGTAAGTTTATAAAAAAATGATATACTTTTGTAAAATAATACAGAATGATATTGTTATAAATTAACATTCCTAATTGTATAAAACAGTGATGATTTAAAATTATATATTAATATATTTAAAATTATAAAAAATTATAAAAGAAATTCTTTTAATACATTTTTGTGTATTCAGGCACCTTGTTTAGAAGACGTTGGCAATGAGGCTAAAAGAACAAAAGGATGTGAACAGTACGCGGTACGTTAAGCTTATTAATTAAAATCTCATTAAAATATTACGTTTAATGGGATGAATATTGATAATATATAATTATGTAAGTACTAGTCAAGTTTGATTAAAAAATGAATAAATGCCAGTGATAAAAATTGTTTTAACAAGAAAAAGAGACAAAACAGCTATTTGTCAGTATTCATTGAAGTGTTTATAATAAAGTTAGATAATATTTGTAATTCCTTCTTGTCCGCAATTATTGCATTTAATAAGTAATGTAATCGTATTCAACTTGAGGAATTATTCGATTAAACAAAAATTATATTTATTTCCAAGTTCTTGTAAACTTATTACTGCAATAAAGCAATAAATGCTTATACCAGAAGAAATATAATTCAAATTTTCCTCTTTAACTGCTTCTTTTTATATCTGTCTGCAGTCACGAAGCTATCTTTTCTACATGAATTTATTTTACATATATACGTTACATCTCCAATTCTTAAAATTTTATAAAATGTAAAAAGCCTTAGCTGCATGGAATTCCATTATATTGGCTTTAATCAATTTAAAAAAATGTGTAAAAAATGTTAAATCTTTTTTTATTCTACGTATATATATCATTATATATATAGTATAGAATAAAAAAAATTTGAAATTTTTTGCAAACTTTTTTAAATAAAAATTTACATTATAAATTATTAATCAATAAAGAGCTGGAAATAGATAAATTTTTAATAGAGAATTAGAAATAAAAAATTATTTTATAAATAATTATCAATTATTAAATAAATATAGACGTTTTAGAAAAAAAAAATCAATATTGTAGAAATGTCTTTAACGTGACTAAAAACATGTTCCGTATAGTGTGTGTATCTCACTTTTCTATAGGATCCAAATACAAGGGAATATCTCCAATTGGCTTTAGCCAGAGTCCTAGAATTACAACGAGAAATCAAGGATGGCACATACGTTGCAGAAACCGATAATGGCAGTGATCTGGGTAACGCAAAACTTTTCTCGCATTTTTTTTCTATCAAGCATTGCGTAACTCGCTCGATATCACCGACAAGAACTTTTGCAACATTCTGCAATGGAAAAAAGAATGTCTATACTCTAAAACTCTGTAAGACCTTCCTCCTGAAGTTTGAGACAAAGTTCATTTCCATTACCCGACATACTGCAACGAACTTTTTAGTGCCATTGTGAATAGCAAAATGATTTATCTGAATAATTGGTTATCATAGTAAAATAATATTTTTGTAAAAAGATTTATTTATTTATTTTCTTTATTTCGGAAACAAGAGAAAATTGGAGTATCCCGGACTTATATCAATTGTCACAGATATTTTGAAAGATTCTGCAAATTAAATTCCACGTAAAAATATGAAACGACATCAGTATGTAGCTAGGTGGAAGTCATTCTCATAAGATATCTTAACAATCTCGTCAAATTTGATTCTTAATGCAACATGACGTCAATTCATTCGTATGCTATGTGGGACAAAATGAGAATTATTTTACTGCTCTAAAGTTTTTTTGATCAAAATTTTGCAAATTAAAAATTTAATTTTTTATTTAGATTTTATTTATTTATTTTGTTATCTCTCTCCCTCTCTCTCTCTCTCTCTCTCTCTCTCTCTCTCAAAGTCTAAAATGTAAACTATAATAAATAAATAAATATTTTGATGCAAGATATCTTATGCTTTTATATATGTATGTATAAATTCATATTTAAACCTTTCTAGTTTCTATATTATTTTCACATTTTTATGAACACAATCTTTACAATCATAAATTAAAAATCGTTAATTTCAAATTTATATTATTAAAATATTTCTGTTATTTTACAGATGCGTCGGGCAGTGAGGAAGATTTAACGAAAGAAATTTTTACCAAAGTATTCCGAGATCTACCCGGGACACCTAGTTCTTTTGCTAAAATAATAGACAGAGGAACGCGTTGGAAAAATCATCGTATTGATGCCATTCATACTAAAAAGATACAATTACTGGGTTTCGATACTTGTCGAAGAATGGCCCTTGAATTCATGAGAGCTATCATGCCGGAATCACGGAACAGATCCTCCTCATTAAATACGATTGAACTCGACAATTTTCAACGAAACGAATCGTTGCATTTGAAAGATGAAATTCAAGCGAATAATTTTCGTAAACAGGAATCGAACGCGCAAGAAATTCGAGCAAGAATGTTGAGAAGTTTGGATTTGCATTTGGCCGCTAAACAAAGAGACTATACGTCCAAATTAATGAAATCGAGTATTTAATACTGGAAATGACATCTTCAAGTGGAAATAGATTGAGTGCGGAAAATTTCCGAATTCAATATTCTCAACATATGCCGGATTATTGGAAATATTATGCTGAAAGTCCATGATAGATGATATTTATTTGTATATCTTTTTATTCATTAAGATGAGATTGTCTCATAAACGAATATGATTCTGTTTAAAAAAATTTTGCAGAAACGCTGTCAATTTTTTTAGATTTATAAAAATTCTAAATGAATAATTAATATTTTGCTTCTATAGGGAAATAACTGATTTCAGTTCTTGTAGTATTAATGAAAACTTATCTAGTCATATATGTGAAACTTGCTAGTCATTACATGATTATTCTGCAAAGATTTCTATTTTATTTAATTTAGTTTATTTAATTATTTAGTTTATTTAATTATTTTATATAGATGTCATTTTATATAGGTCATTAATGCCTTCCCACTTAAAATTAATTTTCTCTGATCGGACGCATTTATAGATATCCGTTCAGCATGATTGTCAGATTCAATAAATGTAAAATTGCGAATAAATTAATAGTTTTAAACAAATTTTGTTTATTTTTCTCTTTACAAATATGTTGCATAAAATTGTAAAACTAATTCTAATACTTTATTAATTTTTAAAAATTTGGATTTTTGCGATTCGAAATCCTGAAAATTTAAGGAAGTCTCGAACATTTCTTGAAATTTTTGAAAATTGTAATTTAACTTGGAACAATTTTATACTGTACAAATCGAAATAAATAAATAATTTTAACCTTATCACTGATTATAATTTCTATTTAAATTTTCTTGAATGTTGTAGTTAATTTTTAAAATACAAGATCTATTAATTTCTAAAAATCTGTTTTGGAATAACAAGTTTGAAATTTTTTTCTGTTGGCTTATTGTAACAGATATAATAATAAACTTTATAGATTAGCGGGATCAAGGGGAAAAAATTATATTTTTATAATACTTTTATTTGAAAAATGAGATTGAAACAAGAAATGTAAAATGTAAGTTTTGTAAAAAAAATTTATTCAGTGTACAAATAAAAAATTCTAAAGCTTTCAAACTATGAATAATATATCTTAACCATATAATATACATATTACAAATTATAATTCACCTTTCGCGGCTTTCGAACGTATAGAGTCACGAAATATCTAGCAGTCGAAACATCGGAAGATCGACTAGATCGCTTCTTTATTCGGAAAGGAAGACATACATAGCACACATAATTATTTTTTCTAAAATAAGTAAAATTATTGAACTGACCCTCGGGAAGCGCGAATAATCAGAATTCGGAGCTTAGCGTCGCGTTGAATCCAGAAAAACTTCGCGTTCACGGCTAAACAAATATTATGCGTGTTTATGCAATAAACTATTCTAATAAAATACAGTAAAGTATCAGTGGATTAACGAGGTTCGATGGATCAACGAGGATTAACTTGTATACATTATTTCGCAAAGTTTTGCTTGTTTAGGCCCAGTTTCACATTTCGCGTTTAACTCAATTTAACCGAAGTTCAATTCGCTTTATCTTTTTCTAATCTAAGAATGAAGAGATAAACAGTAAGCAAGCCGAGATTAAAGTTAATCTTACATTTGTGGAACCGGGCCTTAGCCCGGAATAACGTTTTAGTTACGGGAAATCATAGCAAACTCACGCAGGACTTTGAATTCTACTCCATGAATTTAACACAACCCTTGATTTAAATTATCCAAAATGCATGTATCATTAAATGTCCACGTCTTACATTAAGTTGCATTCATATTTTGCATTGATATATGCTAAAAATACACATTTCAACAAGTCCCTGGTATATGGATTTAAATAGAATTTATATAAATATGTGTAACAAGAAAATTCGTTTCGATAAAAAGATTTACTAGTAGTGATAAATTATCAATCTGTACGTTTAAATCATTGTATACGATAATCGCAATATTATATTATCTTATTTCGCAGAAAATTTATCGATATAATAAGCTCTCTTTCTCATTGTTTGCAGACAGTCGTAATTCATAACGACTTCAATAACTAATAAAGTTCCTGTCTCTGATAATAATGATAAGCTTTCAGTTAAGATTTTTCTTCGATCATCCATTTCGTTGTTTCTTTATAATAAGAGTTTCTCTATAATTTACTAATACGTGAAATGATGCATGGTGGTTAATAATTTAGTACTTAAAAATTATTACAAATAATAAACATATTGCATTGCTGGGCAAAATACAAAACGAATTAGTCATTATAAAGGAAGTATAGCTATATCTAATAATTACATCTAATATCTATCCTTTATAAAAATATAAGGTTTTAGAGTACCCAGATAAGTTTTTTTTACTGTTTTGATCGTATCATATAAAAGGCCGGATAATTAAGGCATGATGTCACAAAATCAATCGTTACATTTGTCAACTCGCGTGTATATGAACGTATTCCGTTACTCTTTATTTATTTCGACACAATCGATGGGACACTCAAACGATCAAATGAGACGATAAAGGAGATCATAAATTTGATTAAAAAAAAAAAGATCACAGCACGGAGTAAAAGTTTCGCAAAATATTTCGAGAGAAAAAGAAATTTTTAAAATGCTGAGATACGAAAAAGTACGATGATTTATACGCGCGTAGTGACTACAGTGACCGAGTATCTACGCGCTACTATTTCTCTATCACAAACAGTTTTCAACATCAAATCCTCATCCGTCCTATATACAAATCTGTGCGTATGTTTAGCACGACGAGTAATATATATCTCAATCTATGGCATGCGCTACCATACTATAAATCGAACAACACTATAAACTACTGATAAAACTATGAGCGATACGTAGAGGGCTCGAGTCATGGGCTTCCAATTGCTATCAAAAAGGTGTACATTATCGACATTCTATAGACCTATAGAACTATCGTCAAAATCGATCCGGACGTACACAAAACATTGCACAACTAAGTATCAAAGATATTTCTGCTCGAAAGTCTGTATGCGTTTCTCTGTTATTATATAAAAGAATTCTTGATATCGAAGCAGATATTTCATTTTCATCTATTGCGTCCGTTGATTGCACCTAAATTAAGTTGACACGTCGTGTCTTTGCTCAATACTACGCGCGAAGATATAACAAAATTACTTATGTTGTTGCCACTATAAGAAAACTAATAATGACAGTGTGATCTAATTTCCCTTCACAATAGTAGTAAATCCCAATCACACACAGGTAAGTAAATAATCATTTTTAGCGCCGAAAAGTATACAGCTAATTATTGATACAAGTGACGAACGCCTTGCTTCAATTGTGACATAAATCAACTTTTGAAGATGTTATTAATCTTTACTAATCTAATTAAAAAATATATTATAATTAAAATTTATATAAATTATGATGATGTTACCTTATTTATTTGATTTCCTTCAATTGTCTGATACTGTACGCAAAATTGTATATTAAATCGACCATCAGGAATTAAACGAATCGTCATGTTTAAAATTTTGATTGAAGTCATTTTCAAAACGGACGTTTTTGGTTCTCTTAGTGCTGCTGCACGAGAGTGGGCCCGTTGCCGGGGTTCCTCCAAGGATCCGGTATATCGAAGTGGGCGGGAACCGTGATCAGAGCATCCGCAGCGGTGCGGTCGCCGCTGCAGTTCGTCGGCTTGACGCGAGTCGTGTTTACGCACTCGATCGGCAGCTTGATGAACTCGAGCTTGTAATTGTAACCCTGGCTGGTGATGCAGATAATGGTGTGCAGCGGCACTTCCATGTAGGGCAGCTCTTCGGGTTTCTTATCAAGAAAGAATCCGATGATGCAGCGCAATATCGCCTGATGTGACACCACGAGAACGTTGTTGGAGCGTTGCAGCTCGGCGATCACCGGATCGACACGTTGCATCGCGTCGATGTAGCTCTCGCCCCACGGATAACGATAACGCAGCTTGTCTTGATCGCGCCAAGCGAACTCCTGTCGCAAAATTAAAAACAGACATGCGATAGCGTTGTCACGGTTGTTTCGCACACGATTAGCGACTGCCTTCGATTTAAAAAAAAAAAAACTGATTGCTCGAACCGCTAAATTTAATCCACGACTCGAAGCTCGAGTATTTTTAGCTGGCAATCGATACTCTGCTCCGTCGAGCAGAATATCGTCTTAAAAATAACAATTACCTGCGGATAATGCTCCTGCATCTCTTCGTAAGAGAGGCCCTCGCACACCCCCGCGTGAAGTTCATTCAAAGCGGCTATATGTTCCTGGGGAGCTTCAATACCGCGCACCGTTGCAATCGTTCTGCGGAGGCGACTGGTGAGAACCCGTAGATCGGGAATACGCATAGCGTTGAACTTGTTTGACAAGGCTTGAGCGTAACGCTCACCTCTGGCGCTTAATACCGCGTCGCCGCCGATTTTACCGACCACGTTGTACTCGCTTTCGCCGTGCTGCAATGAAATATAAATAATATACATATAATTCAAAATTGTAAACTATAAAACATTGTAAAACGCGAAGCAAAATAGAAGATGAAAAATAAATAGCGACAAAATATATAATTATAAGATATTCTATTTTTATCGCAATGAACTGCTTACCCTCGAGAAATAAAGTGTGTGGGATTTAAGGCTGATATCTCCGAGATATCCAAGCACGCTGGTTTCAATATGACCGGATACTTTGCAGGTCTCGATATCCATGGTAGCGGTGTTGATCTTGATTCTGGGATAAGTTCTATCGTCCATAGGTTCGTACAATCCAGCGTAAAAAGCGATCTTTGAGCGCAGATCTTCCGCGGCCAAGGTGGCGTCCATTCCCGCATAGTCGGCGCAATGTCTCACGATCTCCTGTTGGTTGTTCTTCAGGACTTCTGGATCATCGCAGACGCATTCGATGAAGAGAACGCGGTAACCAAGTTGGCTGGCGAAGTAATCGCAGACCTCCGTGCGTTGCGTTCGCGTGATTAGCATAGCGTCCAGGATCTTAATACAGGAGAGAGAGAGAGAATAACTGTAAAATGTCGTACTGTTTGTAAAGCTACTCAAATAATTTAATCATTTAATTAAAGTTGTCACGCAGTTTCCTACGACATCACTTTATCGTAGGAACAGAGAAGTAATCAAGAATGTGTGCTCTCGAATAGGATGTAGATTAGTAAAGTTAAGTGCTCTTTGTCATAATAAAGAGATAACGTTACTCGAGATATTTATGTCTCTTTACTAATCGTAATCTCGCGAAGAAACTGTCTGTGGACACTTACCGCTACAGTGTTTCCAGATGCGAGCCATGCCGCGCAATCCTGCATGGCATCTCTTTGAGCGAGAGCTATTAACGCACTGTTTGCCGCATTATCTGACCGGAAGAGTTCGTGTGTTATATGAGATTCGAATCGTTTTCTTCGGTAATCACTCACACGAAACACTGAAACAAGATATTTATATTGTAAGTCTTTAATCTCTCGTTTAATCAAGAATAAAAGTTGAATATAGCAAAAAATCTCTATGGATTATTGTATAACGGACTTGATATAATAAATGTTTATCTTAAGACAAGTCATTAAATATACCTACCTTTTGTAGTTACGCCATTCCAAATGAGTCTGCGAGCAAGGCTCTGCCCGATTTGGCTTTTTCCGCGAGCCGGTAGACCGCAAGTGGCTATGACAACTCCCGCGAATTTGCGCGATGACTTTGCTAGACCCGAGATTCTTGCTGCGACCTTCTCTTTACCGGGGTCTAAGCAGAATAAAGAGAATAGATAATGAAGAATGCAAAATTCTATTTGCGCTTATTAGGCAATTTATGCAAGTACCATCTTGAATTTAATACGTTAACGACTGAAATTATTTTATGACGTAAATTTTGCAACATATTTCTCTCATTCATACACGAGTGTGAGAATTTATTTCAATCTATATTGTACCTATAATTTATATTAAGTATTTATTAAAATATGTCTCTCAATGATATTATAATAACATTAAATATACAGTGCATAATGCAAAAAAAGTCACATTTTTTCAATTAATTTTATTTCTTGAAAATCTCATCCGAAAATAAAAATATAAGACATGTTTATAAAATGTTAACATGTATATTTATAAATTTTATTGACGACATTTCGAGACAAACATTGGAAAAGTTTGTCTCGAAATGTCGTCAATACAATTTTTGCAGAGAATTACAGGATAATAACTAAATATAATGTTATTAGTCAGAGCTTCTTTGAACGAGGCATTTTGTGATACTAGCGCGAAAATTTTGGCAATATATTTGGACACATCTTATGCTTACAGACGTGAGCAGTAACATGAGAATGGTATATACAGCACGGTGGTATATACGACAAAGTGTGACTTTGGACTCGCAGCAACATAGTACTAAAACTCCGCTCTTCTTGAAAATAACGAGAGATCGTAAAATGTATCAGATGAACTACGGGAGTTGTGGAAATACATTCGAGCTACAGTGTAGAATAATATTGCATTATGCATTGACTTGAATTTTTACACTGCATTAGGTACACATTTGCAAAAGCATCTAATTTGTATTTTATGAGAACGCCGTGCGTATGAAATACAGATGCACATATGCATATATAATGTCATATAAGTACAGAGAAATAATTTCGCATTATCACTCACTGACAAATGCTACACGTGTTTGTAAAAAAAAATTACTTTTGATTCAATGATTTGGAACTAAAACATCGATGAAGTATATTTTATAGATATAAAACAAAAAAACTATAAATTTCTTTAACAATAATGTATGCTAATTAAATCGATTAGTCAATATACGACAAAAACTCAATTCAAATTTCCAAACGTTTAATATATATGTATAAACAGATCATAAAGATTCATTGTGTATCGAAAAATAAGAAATAATTAAGTTTACAAAAATATTGACAATTTCATTAATTAAAATGCACACATAAGAAAATAGATATTGTACAAATTAATTTTATAATTTTAAAATTGGCAGGTGAGTAATATTAATTTCACGTATAAAGCATGTGTTAATTATCTTATCTAGCCCATATTTGTCTAAAAGTATGATATAAAGATTGAAGCCTGACAAGAGCGATCGATAGAGGCGATATTCTATCAGGGAATCGAAACTTAATTGTTCTAGAGACTTTGCATAAATTTAATGAATACTATGACGTCGAACGAGCGGGCAATCAAATATATATGATGCTTCATGCCCCACTAGCAACGGGTTTTATATTTAGATTCGTAAACGCGCGTGAACTGGCTTTGTTTCGGCTTCTCCACGCATTACCGAAGCCAACAATAATGTTCCTTTTAAACACAGTAAAATTCCAATTATTCTTAGCAGGAATAAAATAATTTATTCTCTTTCTTTAAATTTTGCAAACATGTGGTGTATATTATCGCTATCAGGCATTTTTTGAGTCTGTATTTTGAACAATGCTATTTTATGTTTAATATATTTTGCTCAATTATATTGATTATAACCTGTACAAACATAATTAATAAACTGACTTAATTTTATTATTAATTATTGTTGCGATTTATGAGCTAAACGAAAATGGCAGCTTAAGAGGAAATTCCAAAAATATAAAGCATTACCTGTGTTCATATATATGATAAACTTATCTTTCTATATTCCATATCTGAATTCAAAATGATAACACATATGCATAATGACTTAGGATTTATATTATCTCACCAGTGTTATCAACAGATAAAAATTTAACGGTAATGCGTTCGTGGAAATCAGGGGTTATACTTCTGATTATTGTACGCCTGTGAGATAATTTATTGTTCTTGTGCATGAATGTTCAAAAATTTTCTTTAATATATATTTTTATATTGTATAATGTGACTTAAGATTATTTATTTATTTATTAGTAAAAATAATACAGATATTAAACAAATTAAGAATTCAATTATTCAAACAATCTTCTTTTTGATGAAACCTAAGAAATTTTCTTTTACAATATTTAACATTTAAAAAATATTATTAAATTAAATGTGAAGAATAAAAATAACATCACAAATACGAATCTTATTTTCAAAATAAATAAAAACAATTTTAGTAGAAATTTGATTCAAAACTCTAGTATATTCCATGAGATTTTTTTTAGTAAAAATTTACGATGTTTAATTCCATCCACTTGTTTCAACAATTTCTCTCATATTCTCAAAAGAATTTTTAAATGTAAGAAATTGTGACAATTCTGAAATTCCCGATACTTGCATAACTTAGGAGATAAGAGTCGAATACAATTTGGTTCCTGACGACATAGTGATAAGTTATCGATTTCTCAATGCCAAAATGATAAATTAAAGATACGTTTCAGTGTATAGGTATATTTATCGTTTCAGATAATATTTACAGACACATAATATTTAGCTTTAGAAGGAAAAAAGTCTCTCATGTATGTCTTTCTCACGTAAATATATAATTTTTAACAGGTAAGTATTTTATTTAATTCTTGCAAAAATATTGTGTATTTTGATTTCCGTATATTTTAATTAATGTATACAACATGTTGTACGACACAAAATATTCATCGTTTTTATTAAAAATTTTTTTGAACGTGGATAATAATTTCAACTAAAAGTGTATATATTGCTGTATATATAAAAATTAAACATCATTAAGCAGAATATGATGTAGGAATTACCAATCAATGCTTTGCAATATTTGCATACAATCTATTCATTAAACAATCTTTTGTTTAATATATTTTAATTGTGTCCAATTTTATTTTCCACGATATCTATGTTGAGTATTTCACAAAATTATATTCCATGGAATTGTAAGAATCCGATAATGCGTATAACAATGGCGTTTGTAACACGAGAACAATGTCGCAAAAAATGCAGATGTAATAAAAATGAAACACATTAATGGGGCAATGCTCGCGCATTCTCGAGTTTGCATTAACAAGTTTGAGAAAGAATATCTGAACTACTTAAAGCCGAAATATTAATTATCTTTTCACGCGTCGATAATTTATCCAAGCCGTAGTGTGTAAGATGAAAATAATATGACGATTAAATGGATCGCATTCATATGTTTATTTATATCCTTTATAATTTTAGCCAGCCACCTTCTCTCATGCACACAGAAGATAATGACGATAGTACAATGTAAACTTATGCATGTACTTTCCACACTTTGAAGACACAAAATATTCGCTGCTATTAATTTTACGCTGAAAATAACGAATGAAGAAGCGTTAAGTGTAATGTAAGACGGGCAGGACGGACATTGCGATAGCAAAGACGGCGACCTCAATACTCGAGTCATTATTTTCCTTTCACTTTTCATTTCCTTAGAATTTTATTAAATCGACTTCTAACACAATGTAAAAAGAAGTTTGCAGCTCCATAGAGCATATATTACCTATATGTGTTACGTATGTATTTATTTTTTATAAACGAAAATTGAGAAAGAATGAAAGGCATAAATTTCAAGTTTACCCTTTTCTACCTCAATATACGGTGAATGTTTGTTTGAAATTCTACTGAAATGAATCAGCTGATTGCAACAACAAGTAGCGAATAATATTAATGCACATACACAAATTGCAAAAGCTACTTACAATGCACTTATTATTTGATGACGTAAACCTATTAAAATACTTATGTTAATTACATTGGTCAACGTACAAATAACGCACAAGTATTTTTGAGAAAATTATGCTAGCATTTTCTTATAGGACAATTAACAAATAAACAAATTTGTTGTTTAATTGATAATTATTCTAAGAACACATTTATTCTTCATAATAAATACTTCAATACTTTGGATAGTCTACAATAGGAATTTATGATAAATAAATACAATGGTAACATTACTTTTTACCACGGATTTATTCGAGCTTCTTTCATTCTTTTTTTTTCGAAGATTACGTAATTGAATGCTATCATGCAACCAGGAGCTTAGTATATGTTTGATGAATTATGTATTCTACTATACTATACGTTCGCCATACAAAGCACTTTGTCAATATAGCCACGTTAATTATATGCAGATAAGCACCATTAGCCGCAACAAAAAGCGGGTGTTTAAAAATAGTGACGTGTAAAGAAGACATATACACATTACGTAAGCAAACGTCTTACACCCCCTCCCCTCCCTCCTCCCTCATCAAGCAAATCACCCTATACGCGAACTTTACCTTGACGCTGCTCTTCCGCGTTGGGGGCCATGATGGTTGTGTTATCGGCGATCAAGGGTGTCTCCGTGTTAGATGTTTGCCTCACGGCGAGATCGCTTTTTTTCTCCTGCAGGAGGCCGGCTTGCAGGGCCAGTTTTCTGACCGCGAGACAGTAACCCAGTAACGGAGTCGCCAGCAGGTCAAAGCATGCGGCGACCCAGGGCATAACCGAGAGATCCGACGGAAAACAACCGGTCTTCCGGGGTATTCGGCTCTCCCTCACTCTTCCTGTCCCTTCCGTTGGTGACGAAATTATGGTCGATTAGAGAATAACACCGGAGCAAAAGGAAGCCCGATGCGTGTGTATGTGTGTGTGCGGAGCTAACTGCTCCAACGGAAAAAAAAAATAAAATAAAATAAAACCGCCAACGAGAGCCGCTTCTACTCTATCGCGCGAATACTCTACTCGCGAATTTATACTCGCTCCCGCGGCTAAAACTCCGCTTCTCGCGACTTCTCTACTTCCTGGTCAAGCTCCCCGGCTAAAGCTCTTCCGAGAAGTGATCGCTGCTCGTGTGCCGTATTATAGACAGCAGATCCTCCCTCATTCCAATTTGCTTGATCCTCACTTCCGGAGCCAGTTTGCGGGCTTCCTTGGGATCGGTCAGAGAAGAGGTCAGATCTCTTGCTCGAGGCGTGCCGCGCGATTCCCTTTCGCCCGTGCGCGTTTCACTCGCTGTTATTGACGATAATGTTGTTGCCGTTGCTGCTAACGCCGTTGCTCGCTGGCGACTGTGTGCGCGCGCGCGCGCGAACGTATGTACACCCGCTGAAAATTTACATAGTAATAGCGACACCGGTCGCGCGGCTCCGATATTTCACCGACCGCTTTTTTCTGCTCCGAGATTCTAGGCGGCTTTTGAGGTCGAGGTCACTCGCCGTGATCACTCGTACACTCCTCTTCTATCGATGCGATTTCTCTTCCTGCTCCGTTTTCCGACGAGAGAGACTCCGATCGACGTGCTGTCGACGTAGAGGCGTTCAACCCAGCCAGGTGACTATAGAGACCTCGACTAAACGCTTCCCGAGATTT